CCTATATTCTGGGTAGCATGAGTATCAGGCTCTCCGGGAGAGGGGAAAGAGAGAGCCGGCTTCCTTCCCTTCTCTCCCCCTCCCCCTCGGAAGACCTGATACTCAGGCTATATTCCGGGTGGATTAATGAGCGTGGAATATACTGTCGCTAATCCGCTAAATCGGAAATCTCTATTACATCGACTGACTAGGTTTTATCATTTATTTATTTCGTCTGGCATAGGGCCGGGTGTTTTATTGTTTCGACATCATTATTAGATTCCTTGGAAAGAACTTTCTTTCGTTGTATATAATCAGAATACTGATACAGAATTTGACTCACAATAAATTTAAAACCAAACCTTGTTAATACATGATTATTTGGTACGTTTAAACAAAACATTCGACAAATAATTTCGTGGAGTGAATACTAATTTGGATTTTAGTTTTTTTGATGGCGTCAAGTCAATTCTTGTGTTACATGTGATTCATTGTGTTATCATGTGCCATTCATTCCGCATGGTAGAGGCCAGACCGGTAATCGGGTATTTTTGTCGCGACATCACAATCAACCCCTAAGGAGTACTGTTATGAGAGAGAAAATTAATGTTTTTACAGACTAAGCTAGACATCAGTTTTCTAATTACTATTTCTTATCGTATGAAAGCAAGATAAAGAACGAGCAATTAGTTATTAAAAATATCGATATAAGATTTCAGTAAGGCTACCATCACGAACAAGTTTAGATAATGGTATGCTTTGAATTCACGTTCCATCGCACTCTTGAGACTTCGTTCGCCTTATTGTATGCCTGTTCGCTCTAATGACAATGCTTCTTCGCTTCAATGAATAGCCCAATCTCTTGTTCTTTGGTGTTGTAGTATTTGACTAAATGTTGTCGTTGATCGAATCATCCCTATGCGCCTAGACCGAAAAGGAAAACTGGTAAATTACCCAGAACTTGCGTCATCCAAACTGCTCGCCAGTTTAAATATTCGCCGTATGCACGATGCATGGTTTTAGCAAATTAAATGGGATCGAAAACAGCGAGCTCAAGACGTGTTATATAACATCAGTGCGGCAGCTAGTAACTGTGAATTAATTATCCCCATGATCCTTTTCTGTCTAGGAGAGTAGGGATGAAGCCGATCAAACGACAACGTTTAGTCAAAGGACTGTATGTTAATGGAAATATTTTGTAACATGTAAAATTAATACTTTTGAGAATAAAAACGACTAACTTGATAGCTTGTTGTATCTTTTGATGTTTTGCAGATTTTGAGGCCAGTTTTGTGCGTACTTTAAAAGGAGGACGAAAGATGATAATTCAGGATTTCTACTTTCGTATTGACCGAAACTGGTTATTATGGTCGTAAAAAAACGAGAGAGATTCATAAACAGGGTCTACAAATTTGAGGTTTTTTTGTCATAAACAGGGTACCCCTTTCAGAATCCCAGAATAAATTCAAATTCTGGCGGAGTACACCCCCTTCCCCCTCTCCCAGGGGAGTCATGTTACGTAGTTTACTTTCTTACTGGAAACCTCTGGAACCCGCATTAAAAGGTTCACAAAGGAAATATTGTCAACCGTAAAAGGAGCGTATTTTCATGACCCGTATTTTACATATCATTTATTCATTTCACATTGCAGAGATTTTTATTTCGACATCATGGCACTGATCTTCCCTTTTAATTAGATGTTAAAATTCTCTAAAAGACATGCTAAGGCCATGTGATCGACACGTAAAACCTATGATCCGTGAATCAATACAAGACCCACTACACCAACCTCGAAACAATCCAAGAATGTTCCGTAGTTTTCTGTTGCCTCGAAGGAGAAAAACGATCTATTGTATAGTGTTTCTGTTGTTGGTGATCGTGTTATTTATTCGTGGTTTTCATCATCCGCGTCCTTTCCTATTTAGAGAACGTCCAACTGTTCCAAGCGTAGAATACAACTTCAATAATATACCTTACAGACAACTGAAAAATGGAAGCTGCGCTTTACAGAAGAATGGTCAATGGAACTGTCCAGATATTCGTACCGAAGAACACAACACGCTTCGACAAATGCAACTGGTTATGATGCGAATGTTGTTGATGTTCGACGCGTTAGCGAAGAAATATAATCTAAGTTACTGGATTACACGGGGAACTCTTTTAGGAGCAGCAAGGCACCAAGGATTYATCCCATGGGATAGTGATTTAGATATTGAAATGCCAATTGAAGATTATTTAAGGTTTCTTCATAAAGGAGCAGAAGAGTTGCCGTCAGATACATTCCTTCAGCATCACCAGAAAGAGAAACAGTTCTTTCATTCCGACTACACAGACAGCGACATTTTGCATATTAACTCGCATCAAAAGCAAAAGCTTTTAGATATTTTAATAGTACCTTGGAATCCTCGATTCAGAGATAAAAAGAGTTGTTATAAAAACTGTCTGAAACCCAAATGTTCCTGGCATGATGGTCTTCAGATCGACATATACCCCATCGCTTTACAAGACGGGTATTATCAAGATCAGTTTATTCGATCCAAAGTAAAGAAAGCATGGCGTTTTATTGGTTGGATCTTAGGCTTAAATACTGATGGTTACAGAGCATTCCCGCTGAGAGTGTTACGATTCGAGGGCTTTGATATATCTGTTCCAAATCAATGGGAGAAATTTTTGGGGAATGTTTATGGAAGGAATTATATGGATTTGCCTCCGAAAGAAAAACAGCAGTTTTATGAGAACCAGTTACCTGATCCAGTTCACGCATGTTCAGAATTCAACGAGGACGGTAACCTAAAGCCCACTTTAAAAAATAATTCTTGAGTGATCCAGCCAGGATTTCTGAACCTAGATTTCTGGCACAACTTGGCCTACATGTAGGAGGACTTAGTACTTATGTYAGCTTTTCATTTGTGCCTGGGAAGGCAATGTTTTTTCACCGTTTCCAATGTAAATTGTGGCCGACGTGAAAACCATCAATTACAATGGCCTTATTTCGCTAAACTAGAAGCATTTTGCTTGACCCCTGACGGTGTTAGAAAAGTCAAAAAATAATTTTTCATAAGCATTTTTCATAATCTAACAAGGGGGAACAAATCTATTGTAAGAATTTTAAGCTTACTTTACAAACTAGCATCGTCAATTTTAGGCTCAGTTACGGTATTTTYTTTACCGTAATTTGTTTTCCAATAGAACGAAACTACGAGTACAAAATACTACTACAAGTGGTACAAAGTTTTCACTTATAGTTCAGGATCAACTAAAAAGACAGTTTTCCAAGTACTGCACTGCTAGCTTTCTTCCAGTTTTGAAGATCAAGATATTTTTCAGTCTCTCGGCTCCTTGTGCATTCAAAGTGTTCATAAGCTGATTTTCTTGAGTGTTTGTACAGGTTGAATGTCCATTTAACGATCTGAACTTTGAAAACGTTTATTTGAATTTTCATTTCTTCTAGTAGTTAAATGCTTGTTTTCTTTGGCTTTTTTGCTAAAATTTACAAGCAATTCTCCTTACTTGTTGAACAAATGCGATAAACCAGTTGTGTGCCAGCCCGTACAGAGCTTCATTACCTGTCAAAACTGGACCAATCAAGATAGTCATACGGCCTACGGCCTACGACTCTTGATTTCTATAACTCTTTTCGTGCGCCCTACAGCTCCAATTATGATCTACAGCTAAAACTTCCGGCAATAAATGACACTGTTTTATGCAAACGAATTCCGGTCATGGAAACCGCAAAACCACGTATAACTATTTGGCGGTCAATACATCTTTCCAACCATGCTTCCCGCAGTTAAAGTGAAAGTTAAACAGTATTGCTCGAATTTGCTTCTAATGGCGGTACTCGAGACAATCGTGAATTTATTAGCCCAACCACAATTCTGATCAGAATCAGAAGTTGAATCGTGCATTTTTGATGTTCTAGCTTTGCATTAACATTCAATGTTGAAATAAAAACAACTCACCAGAAACTGGGCCACTAAATCGAAATATATATGTGCAATATTTACGCCTGCTATTTTCTTTTCCTAATCCTACTTAAATATATATGTCCCGGAGTAGTCAATCGATAAAAATCCATATCGATAAAATTCGATAGAAATCAGCTGATTTGCATCGATTTTTATGGGAAATCGTTTAAAATCGATAAAAAAAATTGGTGTGAGTTCGATTTTTATCGATTTAATCGATTTTTATCGATCAAGATTTGACAGCTTTAATTCAATCCAATAATGAGTACAATCATATAATCAGCTTTATTTCATGGAAAGTATTCTAAAATATCGATGATAGTGCAATAGATTTTATAATTATCAATTCACAAGTAATAATATGTAGATCAAGCAGCTAATTATCCAAGTACTTTTGCTGTCTGTTCACTGATCACTATAACAAACTCCTAGTTTGTGTCAAGCTATGGTTACGAAAGAGTAATTGCCGGTGGTGTAAATCCGTAGCCACACGACCCTCATCGATAGAAATTGTTCAAGAACATAAATCGAAAAAAATCGATATGTATATAATCAATCAATCGATAAAAATCGATWAAAAAAAWTTAGTGTGAGTTCGATTTTTAACGATTGATCGATACAATCGATATCAATCAAATCAGCGGTATCGATTGTTATCGATTTATCGATTGGCAAAATCGATATCGATTTTTATCGATTGACTACTCCGGGATATGTTAAACTACAATGCGATTAACACTGAACCCCATTACTTAGCGAATATATTTCGACATATGACGGTTTTAAAATTGCTTGCTTTGAAACGTCTCGATATGCTAAATATAGTTGAAATGTTGAAATGGAAGACTTTACTTTTCTTATTCGGCTATAAATTATGTTTCGGAGCATGCGCAGATACTAGGGAACATATCGTGATCTTTCCTGTAATTTCATATGAACTAATGGTCCGCTTTTCAAACTCCAAATAACGTTGAAATATGCCATATGTGCTAAAACCAGGATTCTTGATGGACAATCGCTGGAGGAAATTAAGTTAAATTTCCGGTTCAATGTTCTTTTCTTAACGAAACAAGAAGTTTATTACCGAAATTCAAAATGGCGACATATATGTTATTATCAATGCTATCAATACTATTAACGTATGCAAACGAATAGCCCGACATTGAGGCCTTCTCGGAGAAGGACTCAAGACCGTAGGCCCCTCTCAAGGCGAACATAAAAAAGATCCACTAAGACGCTGGACCAAACCGGCGTAAAAGATGGCTCAGGGGATAATTGAATAAAAAAAACATGCTAAAAACCGATCGTGATTTTCGATTTTTATGGACTATCGATACTTATTAGCCAAATTAACAATTTTGTAGTGTTCTATCGATAAGGCCCTAACAAAATCGAAGATGAATTGCACTTTATAACTATCATATAATCACTATGACTGAAAGAAACAAACTTTTCAATCAAATAAGCAAGAACTATCATCAATTTTTTGAACTTGACGACTCAAACAAAATAAATTTTTTTWWAAATAGTATTGATCCATTCATCTGCAACTCTTTTGCAGCTTTCGTATATTACTCTATAACAAAGAGAAATAACACAAATTAAGTCGCAATTAAAACGCAAATATTATTAAGTTAAATATTATATATACTATCTAGATTGTTACTGTTCTCGCACAGTTATTTTACTATAACTTTGTAAAATAATTACATTAACACTATTAGTCTATAAGTAATACCATGTAAATCTTGGGAAAACTTCAATAAATTGTATTGTATTGTATATTATGTTAGGCCCAGTCGTACAGAATCAACATTGACTGGGCCYTAGTTGCATCAACATGTAACTAGACGGCTTCTAAACTCGAGGACATGCAATGTTCGGCTCCGGTATAGTCCCGTCAGGCGGATACTGTTTTTTCTTCGAAGGCAATTTCATATATGATTCACCATAGAGAGCCTTTAAATGTTTTCTCCACTCAAACGGACCTGGTATCTTAATTCCCTCGAATTCTAATTGCACCAGAGGGTAGGCTTTATACCACATGCCGTGAGTGATGCCGAAAAAACGCCATACTCTGGAGATCAAAGCAAACTGGTCAAGATAGTACCCATCTCTAACCATGACTGGATAAATGTCTACCATTAGTCCATCATGCCATTTACATTTCTTTATAAAACAAGTCATATAACAGCTCTTTAGATCTCGTATTCTTGGATTCCAAGGGCTTAGAACAGCATAATTTAGTTTATGCAAATCTACGCCGCCAGCAGATGTTGTTTTTTTCATTTTAGATAAAGACTGCTCTTTCTCGTGTCGCTGTAGAAACATATCTGATGGCAACTCTTCTACTCCTTTATGAAGAAACCTTGAATAATCTTCAATTGGCATTTCAATATCTAAATCAATGTCCCATGGGATGAATCCTTGGTGCCTCGCTGCTCCTAAAAGAGTTCCCCGTGTAATCCAGTAACTTAGATTATATTTCTTCGCTAAGGCGTCGAACACCAACAACATTCGAGTTAATACCAGTTGTGTTTGTCGAAGTGTGTCGAGGCCTTCGCTACGAATATCTGGACAGTTCCATTGGTTATTCGTCTGTGTACATCTTCCATTTTTCAGTTGTGAGTACGGCTTGTTATTCAAGTTGAAGGTGACGTTCTTGATTTCTGTCGCGTTCTCATTGAAAAGAATATGCAGAATGAAAATAGACACAACAATCACTGTCAATAAAAGTATATACGACTTTATTTTACCTCGACGGAGAATCATAATAAGGACTTATTTACACGTTTTAGAACACGAGAAGACAAAGATAGTGTTCCCATGTAAATGCATATATTAATATATCGCTTTTAATTTCATTTTTGTCAACATTCCGAGCCAGACGCAGCCATGTGATCGGTCACGATCGCCAGATCGCTGAAATTATCGATGCGTGAATCGCTCACGATCGCTGGGTAAAGTGGCTGTCATTTCTACAAAATTTATTTACACTGTATCCAATACACCTAAAATATTACTTCACAATAAATATATACATAAAATTTCCTTTCAAAATTGCATGTCAAAAGTGTGAAATTTCACAACTAAGGTGTCAAAAAAACGCAGGCAACCCAAGGCTCTTTTTTAGTAATTTATTAATATCTCTCTATAAAAAATGTTATAGAAAATATAAAACATGACCTATGAAAATATATAACAGTAATGATGAAAAGGTAAATTATACACCGTGAAAAGACGAAAAAACTTACTGACGTTTCGGACGCTAGTCCTTCGTCGGAGTAAAAAAGAAAATATATTGTATAAAGAAAAAAAATCAGGCAGCCCGGAGCAAAATATTTTTCTGGCGAGCTATAACTACCGTGACACGGTTTTCGGTCGTAAAATTTTATCAAATTAGGTTTTGCTCCTGGCTGCCTAGTACCCAATCTTTAATGTCTTTTTAAGCTTTGTGCCAAATATAATGATAGTACGATAAAYAGAAAAGAGGTTATCGAAGAACGCGTGAGGGAGAGTGGTGCTTTAATGCGCTAAAGTCGCTATAATTCTTCTATTTTGATCCAAACGAAAGAATTCGCCGCCATATTGCTTCTGACATCGAACTACGTCATTACTCACGATATTAAGTCGATTCAACCACGAAAACTATCGGAAAACGTCATTTTTATATCGCCCACGCGTCCCTTCATCCGAATGCCGTATCGCGTCCCAAACAAGTGACATCATCCATGGCAACAGCCAAAACGCATGCGCATTTTGACAATGAAACACGAAACCACGCTATAATTTTAGAGAAACTGCGACAGACTTTCTTCGAGTGTATTTTTGATATTTATTGGTATTTCTTATAGTAGTTATAGTTAGCATATGTATATTTAGCTTGTCAACGAGTGCAATAAATATGTGCACTAGAGAAAAAAGCCTGAAAGGTCATGAAGTTCGTGGTATTGGAAACGCTTCGCGTCTTACTTTCTCTAACCAAGAACTCCAAGAACGTGGTTGTCAAGTGGAAAAGTCTGGCAAGGGTTCCAGAGAGCTCCATTTGAGTTTGTTTATCCAAACGGATATTATGGTCCGTTGTAATCACGCGTTGTAGCATAGCGTTTTGACAACATGGCGGACGAAGAAAGCGTCTTTCTACAAGGAAGCGCGGTTCTTCTGCTTACTAGCCTGCGTAGCCGCTCTTGCGAGGGAGAGGGGGTTGGGGCGAGGAGACGGCGCCTCCCAAACGTCTGCGAATGCTCTGAATCCGTATGCAAATTTGTCAAAACATAAGTAAATTTGACTTTCAAACATGCCTGATAAATTGGACTTGCTTGAAACTTAGGCTAATTCTTTCATATTGTGTTTGTTAATACAGTATCTTGGTCTGACAAAAGTATACTCTTAAACGTTTTTGTATTGTTGGAGAAAACAAACATTTATTTTCTCACTCAAACTCTTCAAAATTCTTAGAAAACGTGCTGAAGTGCACGCATGCGCAAACGTTTTTCTCTAGTGTCGGCGGTAGGTCATTTACTGTTTTAAATCAAAATGATGAAATAATGGGGGATAGAGAGGAGGATCCAGGGCTATCCCAAGAGCCTTATTATTGTTTTCTATGGTTTCCACCGGTTTATAGTCGTATCTAATGATGCCTCCGCTTCTACTTATACTAATTCTAAAAATAGCCTGCGTTCAGCCGATATAATTTCTCTCTCTCTCTCTCTTGAAATAATTATTTCAAGAGAATTATACCGGCCGGAAGCAGGCTAGGCCGAATATGGCTAAAAACAGCTCCGGGGCATATATCTATTGCTGGTTTTCACATGACGTCATCAAAACATCAAAATCTAAACTATAGATCGTATAAAGGCATTTCTCAAGTATGTTTTAGAAATTAGTGTTATAAGTCACAAGAAAAAATCTCGAGTCATTTCGATGTTTGGTTCTCGAGTTATGAATATTGAGTTTGTGTCACGCAATACCGTCACGTCTATCTAAATAGCGGTGAAAGTATTAAAATAATTTACTCTAGTTGAAAGATTTTCCCTTAGACACGTTTAAAATATCTATTTAAAGTATATTTAAGTGAAATATAGTCAAACATATTTATTATTCCATTATTTTAAGCCTTTGGAATTTCGTCCGCCATGATGGTGTACCAACTTGGAACACCAAGATGGCCGCTCCATACATTTTAACCAAAAAATGCGTCATGTTTACTCGCCTATAGTTCCGCAACGAAATGCTTTACAGCCATAAACTTTGGCCAGTTTATGTAGTTTTGACCGTTTTGCAAGAATATAAAACTTTTATTTCATTATAATGCGAATTTACGCTTTTGAAATTCATGATGACGTAGGTGAAAACCAAGAATTAACCCTGCATTGACAGTGGATTTCTTTTTTCACTGGGGCATGCAGTATGTATGTCCAGCGGGGCTACTTGACACGTTGCTCAGCAACCTCGTTCCCAGGGCCTTCTATTTGATCGAGAAGAGAAGGCATGGAAACGAGGTTGGTTGATCATCAGGTTCAAGCAAGCTTGAAGATAGCCTCCTTTTTTTTCTCACGTCTTCACTACTACCCTTTTAAATTAAAAATGGCCAAGGCTGATCCGAAAAACAAATCATATACAAAGAGATTTAGAAAAAATAGTATTTTATTTCTGTGGAAATCGCAAGAAAACTAGACGAATCAGTGGCGGATCCAGGATTTTTCAAAGGGGGGTTCCGTTTCTTAAACTGTGTATAATTCTCTTTTGTTTAGTCGATGTCTGACAAAAAAATTGGCTCTAATC